TACTCTCTCCTTTTTCACATGTTTAACTACTGTTATTGGTACATTTAAAACACAGAAACATCCTAGAGAGTAAGTGAAGATCCTTCCACCCGGGCCCCGAGTCAGCCCGGCCCCTAGTCACCCCCCACCCCCAGTGACCACCCTCCTCCATTTTGATTCCTCCTAGTCACCCTGGCCCCAAGTGACCCGGCGCCATCTTGAAAGAGCAAGGGAGGGCCTAACCCACCGCGAGGACTGAGGTCGCCGTCAACGAGTCCCAGGGCCGGACTGGGGGGAGGGTAAGGGCCCCGGGTGCCACGTCACATGAAGGGCCCCCAAACCAGAACTACCGCCCCCCCCTTTTTTCAAAAAAAACTAAAAAATATTCAGGTTTGCTGCGGCAGCAAACTCCAGCGAGCGAAGCAGGCGAGAATTTTTGACATCTTATAGCTTGAAGACCGGTTTTTAGGGATTATGCGGGTATTATGTTACGTAGTAGACCCTTTTGACAACGTTGCGTTGCCAGTTGCCGCCCACCTGTAGACGTCGTTCGGTCTTCCACTTTAATTTTGGAAGCATTACGGGAAACCGCAAAAGACAACTGCGAGCGAAGCGAGCAAGAATTTTTTTCGATATTTCATGACGAAACGAGCGGTTTTGAGCAAAATTCCTGGACATTTCCCCCAAGGCCCCTGGCCCCGGGCGGGGCCCCGACAAGAACCCTGGTTGTAGGGGCCCCCGATGGCGCGGGGCCCCGGATGCTAGCGCATCCTAGCACCCCTGGCCAGTCCGGGCCCGCCTCCGCGCCTCGCTCCGCCGAGGGGCCGCCGCCGCCGCGTGGTCGCGGCTGCGCACCGGTTAGAACGCGTCTGCCCGGGTGAGGTCGCCGTCAAGGAGTCGGCCGTGACCGCGCACCGGTTAGAACGCGTCTGCCCGCGCACCGGAGCCGCCCAGGGAAGCGTAGTCACGATGGCCGATTGATCTAAGAAGACAAGAGTGGTTCCCAGGGACTTAAGACACGCTCGCGAACGCACCTCCGCGGCACCGCCGCGCCCTGCCGGCGAATTACCGTACTACTCGATTAATTAGATGTACATGTCCAGGCTTGCTCACCGCGCCACCGCCGACCGCCGCCGCGGCGCTATCCCGCGCGCGTCGGCTGCTGGCCGTGCCATGCCGCGCCGCCGGGGTCCCCTCCTCACACCGCTCTCCCCTCCTCCGCCCCTACTCCACTCGATCCGGCTCGAGCTGGCTTGGCAAGCGCGCGAACAAGTCCTCTCCACTCCTGCGTCGTCTGCTCTACCTGCTTTTGAGGGTACGGATTACACTATGAGGTCCACGAAAAAAAAGGTGCGCCCGAGCTGACACGAAGTGTCATTGAATTTTTACAAACATCATTACACATCTTGAACACGCAATCGGCGAGAATTCGGTCGAAGTGCCAATAAGCACTTTACCCCCCTCCCCTCTCGCCCCGCGCAGCAGGACGTGGCGCGCCCTCCCGCGTCCCGGCGTCTCGCTCCCGCTCAGTCGAGCGTCAAGTATTGGACAGAGCGGAGCAAGCGTCGCCATGTGTCACCGGCACCTCGAAAAGGACCTGCATTTATCGGACGAGGACACCATGCCCCCGTTGATCTTAAGCCAGGAGTCGCAGGAGTCCTGCGATTTGTTGTCCCCGCTTAAGCTGCAGCCCTCGGGCTTGATACGATGAGGTAAGTGTAAGTAAATGATCTGCGCGCCAAATCTTTGTTGCATCATCCTGTGATTTCACGCCATGTTGTCCCCCGTTGCGTCTCCCACCGTAATTTTACGCTTTCCTGTGTTGATCGCGACGCGAGTGTTCTTTCATTCATTAAAACCGCGAGTGATTAAGCTTGGATCCTGCCGGCTCACGCCAGTTGAGGTTAGGAGTCCTTGTCTCCCCGCCGGCGTCGTGATCTCCGCCGCCCGCCGGCGTCAGTGTTTCGTCACGGCGTGTCCTGCCAGCGTCACGTAGCTGTAAATTCAGTGTTCAGTCGAGTCTCTTGCCTGACGAGCTCAGCTCGGCGCGCTCGCTGTTGCCGCCTCGTGCGCCGTCTCGTGTGCCGCGCCCCGGCCGAGTCCTACCTCGGCAGCAGTGGGCACTAGCTCCTGGTCCTGGTCGCGTCTAGAAGGTTCGCGTTCAATGTTCACCCGTTTCTGTGACGTTGGGGGGGGGGGGGGGGGGGGGGGGTGCCCGCTCGAGAGAAAAAAACGCTAATTAGTGGATGGAGAGAAAACAAGGGGGGGGGGGGGCTCTAGCTGGTTAGCGCTCTATCTCTCTCGCGCTCACGCACGAAACACCGTCTCTCTCTTCGTCCTGCGTTTGAAGTAACGCTCCTTACTTTCCTGCAGCTGTCTTGCGACCCAGAGGTGGTGCGAGCCGCGCCACCCTCGCGCTCCTCCATCCCGGCTGTATATTTTGAGGATGTGTGGGATGAGGATGATCCTAACGAGGCCGCCGCCGCCAGCGAGCCTCCGCCACATCCGCTCTCCCTCCCCGACGTCTTCATGGAATGGAGGAGGCCTGCGACGCTGTAAGTACAAATAGAGCTTGGCCAGCGAGGCGCCTTTTACTGTGCGTAGCTAATTATCACTGATTGTTTTAGTTTTCCACGCACGAGCTCGGGGAGACCGAGGAGGTTGGCTGCACCAAGGATGAGCCGCCCCATGCCCATGCTCGTCAGGACGATGACGGCCAGGATGGGCCGCCCCAGGCCCAAAACCATGATGATGACACCCCGGATGAGGGTTTACCTGTGCCAGGTCGTCGGCGGGTGGCTCACCGCCCTAAGGCAACTGTGGCCCCCCAAAAAGTGAGTAAAAAATGAAATCGATAATTTTTCGACGCCTCGCGTTTTGTCATCGACTCTAATTCGTTCTCTGTTGCAGTCTGTGTTCGAACGGCTGGGGGTTGAGGTCGTCGTCCAGGAGGCGCCCGCTCATGCTCGTCAGGGAGGGGTAAGTAAAATCGTATCGCCTGACATCATAATTTCTTGGATCTCTAGACTAACTCGACCCTCCTTTTGCAGAGCGTGTTCACCCGGGGGGGGGGGGGGGGGGGGGGGGGGGGGGGGGGGGGGGGGGGCGCACTTTGACCCGCGGGGGTCGGCACAGGCAATGGCCAGGTACATTCCCCGCCCTGAGACCCCGGCTCAACAACCTGATGTACAGCCCACACAGCAAGCCCAACCCCAAGCCCAGGACCATGCTCGAGCCCAGGCCCGCCACCAAGCTCATCCCTTTTCGCCATATAATATGGTCAGTATTTTCGCAAAATGATCTCTACCTTTCTTTTTTAAAACAAATTGTTACCTAACCATGACTGTTTTGTTTCAGACTCCACAGCAACAAGCTGAATTCAAGCGCCGTATTCATAAGAAGTAAATGTTTAACAACCGTTTTTTTTTGTTTTTTTTTAAATCAATCAATAAATAATCATGTGCATTCCATTTGATTGTTTTCTTTCGACATGCCTAATTTTGTCACACAAGTTAACACGGACTTGGTCAACAAATTCAACTGTCGAACGATTCTTTGAGCGGGGAAAATTGAAGTTCTCATTTTAAATACAACACATTTTATTTTATCCAACACTAGCTACATTATGATGTCAATGGGATGTTAAAACGAAACTCATTAGAAATAAACAACACTCTCTACTTACTGTCAAAAAATATGATTGAAATTAGTTTACCATACTTCTGACTCAAGATTTTGAGAGCAAACATTTGACGATTCTTTGAGCGGGGGAAAGTTAGAGTTCTCATTTTAAATACAACACATTTTATTTCATCCAACACACTTTGTGATAATTAAACAAAGCTTGTTTTAATTAATAACATTTACGACAGGGTTACAAAAAAGAGATGACTTTACTTTAGTTCTGAGCTGAGATTTTAAAAGCAAACAACTGACGATTCTTTCACGGGGTAAAAGATAAGCGTATTTGAGCCATAGAAATTAATCATTGATACTCATTCAGGCTATAAGCCTGGCACTGCACCCTCAAGTGTAGCCACACAGAGGTGGAGGTGTGCTCGACCTCGGCCTGGTGGTCTTGGGGTTGATGCGGCACAGCGGCGCTGCTGAGGCTGGAGGAGCTGGCCGTGGACCTGGCGGCGACAGGGACGCCCAGACTGGCCGTGGACCTGGAGTCGCTGCTGCGCTGCAGGGCTGCGGAGGATGGACGTGGACCTGGCGACCTCCGGCCCTGGACCGCAGCCACCCTGCTGACACACACACACACACACACACACACACACACACACACACACACACACGTCTAGGAGAACGCCGTCGTGGTGGAGGTCGGCGACATGCAAGTGCCGTGTACTGCTGCGCTCTGGCGACGTTTTGCGGAACTATGGCCGTAACCAGCAGTCTATTTGAGTCGAGCTGCTGCGCCCAGCCGGGGCAGGCAGTGAGTCGGAGCAGCACCGTCCGCTGCTGCGCTCTCACGGCGTCTAGCGAAACTACATCGGTAACTTTGCGAGTAGAGCGGCGTACCACAAGTAACAGGCAGCCATGTGACGAGCCGAGTCGCGCACGCCCAGGCGGGCCAGCCGCGCGGAGCCGAGCCGTAGTTCTGACAGCGGCCGATAGGTGCCGCGGGTTGGCGCTGCGGGCGCCGCCGTCGGCCGTATAAAATGCGGCCTCAACAGCAGACGGCTCGCAGGACTGCTGGAACGAAAAATCTATCGTTACTTTGTGTTGGGAGTGCGAGAGAGATAGCGCGCTAAGGAGCAAAGGCGCCCCCCCTCCCCCTCTCTCCAACACCATCCCATTTCCAGGAATCCCCGCGTGACCACCGGTGATGGGACGCCAGTGTCGTCGGGACAAAGAAATCGTAACGGTCAAAGGTTCAGTAAAATTGACAAAGGCCTGACCTCAGAATTAGTGCGTGAGGAACAAAATGAGAGACGCGAACTAGTTACCGGCCGGCTTACACCAGTCCGCGGCCGCGGGCGGCACACGAGGCGGTAGCAACGAGCGCGCCGACCTGAGCTCGCTAGGCAAGACACTCGATTGAACACTGAATTTACAGATACGTGACACAAACAGGACACGCCGTGACCAAACACTGACGCCGACGGGCGGCGAGCACAACGCCGGTGGTGGACAAAGGGCTCCTAACCTCAACTGGCGCGAGCCGGCAGGACGCAAAGCTTAATCACTCGCGGTTTTAATGAATGAAAGAACACTCGCGATCAACACAAAGTAGCATAGAATTAAGGGGGCGATGCAACGGGGGACAACATGCCGTGAAATCACAGGATGATGCAACATTGATTTGGCGCGCGAATCACTTACCTCATCGTACAGCAGCCCCAAGGGGTGCAGCTCCAAGGGTGGCATAGAGTTCTCCGACTCCTGGCTCAAGAAAAGGTTCGGCATGGTGTCGTCCTCCGAAAGAAACAGATCTTTCTCCAACGAATCATTCCAGTCACTCATTGTTAGTAGAACACGGACGTACGCACAGTATGGGCTGACGCCTCCAAGCTCAAGCGAACGACTGACGCCGGGACGCCATGCCGTGTCCTGCTCCCGTGCCGCGCGGGGGGAGAGGGAGGGGTTAAGTGCTTATTGGCACTCCGACCGAATTCTCAGCGATTGTGTGTTGAAGATGTGTGATGATGTTTGTAAAAATTCAATGACACTTTGTGTCAGCTCGGGCGCGCCTTTTTTCGTGGATCTTATAGGGTAATCCGTACCCTCAAAAGCAGGTAGAGCAGACGACGCAGGAGTGGGGAGGACTCGTTCGCGCGCTCGCCAAGCCAGCTCGAGCCGGATCGAGTGGAGTAGGGGCGGAGGAGGGGAGCGGGGCAATGGTGTGAGGAGGGGTCCACTGCGGCGCGGTATGGCACGGCCAGCAGTCGACGCGCGTGGGACAGCGCCGCGGCGGCGGACGGCGGAGCGGTGGCCCGCTCGTCAAGCAAGCCTGGACATGTTGTACATCTAATTAATCGAGTAGTACGGTAATTCGCCGGTAGGGCGCGGCGGTGCCGCGGAGGCGCGCTTGCGCACGTGTCTTAAATCCCTGGGACCCACTCTTGTCTTCTTAGACTACTCGGCTATGAGCGAGTCACTTGGTATGAAGAAGAAAAGAAGATGATGGCGTAGCGTAGCGTGGACCCAAAACAAAGCAGAAAGCTGCATCGTGGAGTTGCGTTTATATTTCTATTCAAAGTTGTGTAATTCAAATTAGTTTTTAATCTCTTTTGGCGTACAATCAACAGAAATATACCCGATATCAGCTCCAAAAACTCTATTTGTAAGGGTTTCGCAACCAGGTTATGTCGCTTTGTTTTGGGTCGCCGCCATCTTTTTCTTTTCTTCTTCATACCAAGTGACTCGCTCATTCTGTCCATGAAACTGTACCGCTTCCATCACCCTGGGCGGCTCCGGTGTGCGGCTTCCTCGACAAGTGAAACAATGCACACATCTTGAGGTGTTATCACAAAAGCACACTTTTGATGTGTCTTCTGTTTTCCTTATTTCATATATGGTAGAAGAGCTTTGGGATTTGACTTGCCAAGTTTTATTTCCCATAAATTCCACTGCATTGTCAGAAATTTTACTCCCTTTCTCTCGGCGTTTATCACGATCAGTGATGAAATCACCATTCGGTGTAGTGCATGGTTTATTAGCTGGAATGAAAAATAAAATACAAAAAACTATTAAATAGGAAACACACACAACAAAATATCGAGTAGGAAAAAAACGGAGACAGAAAGCATTCTTTGATGTCTCATACATTTCTTGAAGCTTCTCTGAACTCCCATTTTGGGCTGACCAACTACTAATTTGGGTTTGGGTAGCTTCAAATTATAGCGGTCACTTTCTAAGAGCTCACTGAAAGAGATTTTCACAAAACCTAGAAAAAACAAACTCAAATAATCTATGCAGATATAAAGCAGGTATGATATTTAGAGGAAATGGAATAAAAATGACTTCACTATTACCTGAGGGCTTCTTTACTTTTGCCATTAGCATTTGTCTTTCCAACTATTTCATAGCGAGCCATCACATTTTCTAAAAACAAGATGAAAGATTTTTTTAAACCGACTTCAAAAAAGCAAAAGAGTATTAGAATGAGGGCAGTTTTTCACTGACAACCAACTAAACCACTCGACATACACAGTGTGAAACACATTTTCAAGTAGCATTGCATTGAACTGATATCAGAACAAAATGAGGAAGGGATAACGGAAAGGCTACGAAAGTGGGCTCTGCATACAAAACATCTCTGATGTCCAATATTGTTCTGATATCAACTTGGAGTATGCATTTTTCACTTAGTACTAGGTATATGTACGCCAGACCACGTCTCGCGTAACAGGCTTCGCGATATCTCACGAAACACTGTTACGCTGCGACGCGCCTGGCATACATCTACCTAGGCCTGCGGCGCTGACACCCCAGTCGGGAAGCGCAAAAAAGTACACGAAGATACGGGCCTTCGGCCCGTCAACTTCCCGTCACTTCGACTAAAAATGCAGGGTTGTATATTTTTTCGCTTATTTTCGTCAAAAACTCCCTGTGGCGCCTAAACGGTTAGAGATAGAGCCAAACGGGCGAAATTTACGCCCATAGGGCTCTACTTTGATGCGTTACCCCTTAAACAACATTAAATTTTTTTTTAAAAAAAACGTCATTTTAGAGACTTGTGGTTTTCAATTTTTTAAAAATCCAATATTTGAGCTAGAATGCTCTTCTTCGAACTTGATCTGTCTTTTTATGATACAAAACGACCATGAAAATCCCAGGTCGCTAGCTCATTTCGTTCTCGAGTTATCGTGCGTACAGACAAACAGACAGACAGACAGACAGACAGACAAACAGACGCGAAACTTTTTGATCATCAGTGGAGTAATAGGCTTCGCTAATCGCTCAGCCAATTAAGAGGAAGGCACAAGGCACAAACGTGATTGAAAGATAGCCTTCAGAAAACATGTCTCATTCATATTAGGTACTATCAAATCACAACCATAAAGAATGAAGAATCAAATACTTACCTTTCATGCGTCTGCTAAAAAAGATATTTCAGCAGGGGAATATTCTGCTGCGGTAGGACCCACAGACACATTTTTCACAGTCCATGGAATAACCAGCAGGCAAAGCCCCCATCTTATAGCTACATTGTAACTGATACCGTATGAGTGCCGAGGCAAATGAAGTGCAGTTTGCCGTTATTTCTGCAATAGCCTGATCGGTGTTGTTGGATACATACTTCACTTTCACTGTGTTCTCAAAGTCTTTATGAGCTGCTTGAACATTGAAATGATTGTGGAATAGCCTCAGCTTATTGAAACATTGGTTGATAGTCCTTTTCCGGTTGAGAATTGTCTTCAGCTTGCCATGTAAAGACTCATTTGGGTTGGTAG